TTCGCATTGAATATTACAGATAATAGTTTTATTACTAGCCGTCCAACTAGTTACTGCATCCCATCAACATCGCTTTCTTCGCCTTCATCATCAGCCTGAAACAGTCCAAACACAAATGCTCCTCGAGCTAAAGGCACTGCGACCACGGAACTAAACTACTATTCGAATTCCCATCCTTTGACTGAACATTTAATAAAAAGTCACCCTTAAAAAAAGCAAAAAAGGATAAAGCATTTGCCGTTGATCAATCCCTTTGGGATGCGGCACGCATTCTACTTCCATTTGTACATTCGTAGTGGCGTTTTGAATGCGATGTGGCCTATACAATGACTTGCGGGGGCCAGCCGATGTTCAAGTCAGTGTTATTTATCCTCCCAGACAAGTGGTAATCAATTAACCGACCCCGATGGAAGGCTTGGTTGGCCCAGGCGACTCACGACCCAGGAATTTGATCCCCGGACCGCTCGCGTGTAAGCGTGCCACTTGCCACTACACCACTCGCGCCTCACAGCATCAAATAATAATTCCAACCCAACAACTTCTTACTCCAAAATAAGATTAACGAAAAACTTGAATACATGTAAACAATTCAATATTACTTAACAATCGTTTTATGACTCTCATCAAACGCATACCACAATACACGATTTCTATCTAAATCTATTTCCAGAAGGTCGAAACTTAGCCTACGTACGTTACCTCCCATGATTGCAACCATAAAAGGGTTTAAACTGGCCATTGATCGCCTCATTTTAAGAAAAACTTTGCCTGTTACCCGGCAAGAATTATTCAAAATTCTCACAAATCTGGACGAAAAGGAAATCGGCTGGGAATTCGGAACATCACCGCTATCACTGAATGCGCCGATATGAATTGCATCTCTCATTGAGCAATGGCATAATTCACACCGATTTCACTTCTACGAATCACAACGATTGCCTAGTGATTGACCCTAATCGAATGGGCGATTCGAGAGCGCTAACGGGGTGGTGGGACGCCGGATTGGGGAGGTGCGTCTGCTCTTGTCCGGCTGTTTCAAACAGACATCGTGGCCGAGAAGCCACTGAAGGGCGCCATTTGCCCCTCTATTACGTCATCGCTTGCTGTAAACCCCTACACCCTCCCTCATTTCGGTGCACCTACTTAAAACTGTTCCATATTCCATTCCCTTTTATTCGCTATATCCTCAATTTTATATACATTTAATTTTAATGCATGATTCTCACAATCAGCATAACTAACCTGATCGATATTTCAAGGGCTTTTTCTCGCCTTTTCCAGTGTCTTTATTTCTGCCAATCCCAACTCACTGATGAGCTCCGGGGATTGACGAAATAATAAGGTTCGTCTGAGGAAGGAGCGAAACGAACCGTTTCATTATTTTGTTTATATTGTTTTTTCTCTCTTTTTACAACAACTTTAAGTGATGATATTCCGAATTTTCGTGTCCCGACTGGGCGAGAGTTTTCTTCACAAGCTCAGCATTCTCAAGAAACTTTCGCAAGGCGAGCTGCGGCCAAAAACAGCAGTTGACAATCAAAAACAAATATTCAGTATGTTTCGTGATATCCCCTTTTAACCCCTCGAATCCTTTCCACAGAATGTTCCGAAATCAGCGATGGCAATGAAGATCATTTTCGAACTTTCTTTTGTAGAAAACTAGCAATTAGGCGGCAGCTCATAGCTCGTAAAGAAAGTGCATAGCTATCATTCCACAAAAATATCGACCTTGAATGAACATTTTGAGTCCGAAGAGAGCATGCGAGTGTTTTGCTGGGAGTAGAAGAACAGCATATGTCTTCCTTTAAATTAACCAGTATAGTCTACTCCTTGTCGGCTTTATTCTATGTTCTCATTTATGGATGCTCATCTTGGATTTCGATTGTGTTTGCTTGTACCTTATGCTTATTCTGCGCTTTAAGTCAAAATTATAAAGGGCGGTCATATCGTTAGGTGGGGAGCAGGGTCAAGCGAGGCGTCGAGGAAAATTTGGGAAATACGACCCCCCTCCCCCCCAAGAAGCGAAGTCCATGAAACGACCTCTTCAAAAGCCGAACTATGGAAAGGTTGTTTAATTCTCCCCCAAAACTGTTCATAAAAAAAGCCCTGCTACCCCACCGTCCACCAAAAAATTCGTTCAAGAAGTACAAAGTAGAAAAGTCAGAAATTAAGTAGCCATTGCATCCTTCATATGTTTCTGATTTGAGCTGCATTTCTTGTTTACAGTGGACTCCTCCCTGTAATTTCACACCGACCCTTTCAGAATCGTCTTGATTTTTCCTGAATTGAGATGCTCTCTCAAGAGAGCCGTAAATGAAGCGCGCTCAACCAACTGGGCCCACTCTGGGATGTACCGTGTGGCTTTCACGTCCCTTCATAGTGGAGGACTCATTTTGAAGATAAAGCATCTGTTGGAAAACAGTGGAAAATTTCAGATACTTCAAACTTGACGTAATAAATCACTGAGGTAGTTAAGAGTACTACGCGGACCCCTTTGAATCACGAAAATTTTATGTGAGCGGAATAACATTGTTATTGGAAATCCTTCTAGCCTTCCATGGCATCGATTCGATCCTTGATGTTTGTCCACCGGCGTGATGATCCCACTGCATCAATCCTGGCCCGATCTTTTCCTCCCAGCGGGCCAATACGACCCCCCACGAGACCTGTCGAGGATTCCTCAACGCACGCTTGACCCTGGGTGGGGAGGGACAGCAGGAGACTGAACCAATGTTTGGAACTCAGCTCAGGAAAGGGAATGGATTCTGGGAGCGAATGAGAACAAGATGTGCTCTCCCTAGGGTTTCTGCACTCTCTGGGCTTAGTCCTAGTGTCACCTCTACCTACCGTCGGCCTTGTTTTGAATGTCCCCCTCCCCCCCTAGGGACATGAGTGCCTATTTTGCACTATTCGGCATCCTGCATATCCACGGTATAAAAAATAAAACGACAATAAAATAAAAAAATAAATAAATGAAAATTGTATATTAAAATGTGCGTCGGTATGAATTAGATGGCGTGGTTGTGTACTGGTAAGTGACACCAATTACCAATCGTACTAGGTTAGGGGAAGAGGTGGGTCAAACAGCGGACAGAATCATGCCCAAACCAACCAAGTCTTCCGACCAAGTTTTGCGCCAGTTGTTTGCGTAATAAATTTCGTGACTAGCACCCGTAACACGCCCATTAGCTGGCCCGCAGTTCATTGTATAGACCTAATCACATTCAAATACTACGAAAATTCCGAAGGGAAATGAACTTCTATGGCGCATCCTCAAAGATTTTGATTTCTGTGGAAACTTCCTCCTTCTCATCGACGACTCTGTCACGGTCAGAACCCACTTGTGAGCAGCATTTACGCTGACAATGTATTGATGTGCGCTTTTCAAATGTTCTCTATAGTTTCAAGGCCTCTCCCTTGCTGGGAACTGTTCAAAAAATGGTTGACCCTAGTCGTCATCCTCCATTACTGCTACACCACCACTGACAACAGTGTGACCATCTGCGCCCCACTACCGCCAGCCGTTTATGATATTCTGCCCGAGGAACAAATGGAGTAAAAGAAACTTCAGTAAGACTGCACCTTTAACTACCAGTCTATCACGTGTGCAGAGTGAACACTGGTGAAAAAAGCCCCCAGCGAACAAAGGCTGTGTCATCCACAACTATTCCAACTTTGATTGTATTAAGCAACTGTTGAATTTGGCATTAGTTGCTAACCGATGTTTTTGACGATTTCTCCTAACTCTCCTACCTCTTCGTTGAAGGCAGGTTAAAGAATAAATTGGACACTTCAAACACGATTACCAGGGGGCGCCTTCCACCAATGGACGACGTGAGTCCTTAAGAAGAGGGTGCGTGGCGCTTTCTCGCTCTATGCTCCATAACGCCGTAATGAAGTGTTACCCGTTCCCTCTAGACGCTTTCATGCTTCTCTTTGCCTCTGTGGTTGATGACGGTCGGCGTCTAGCCCTTCTAGCAGAGAGTGAAGCGGTCACGTAGAGACGTCAGCGTCATTGTGGCATGTTCCAGAGCGGAATCTACGGAAAAACTAAGATCCCGTCCTGCTTATACTGGGCAGATTCCCTGGGCTTTATGGGGGGCACTGCGGCGTTTTGAGCACTCCTTATCCACTTTCAGCTAACCATTTATTCCATAACTTACACTGCCTTTAATCTTCAGGAATTGGTTTTCTGACTTTGTCCACGGAAAGTCATCGAACAAGCGCCTTATTCGAGAAAAATGCAAGACTTCCGGTTATCTTAGCATATCTCTTGAAATATATTAGTTGCACCATACGTGGTATTTGGCCAAAGCTTGTGACCCATTGTGAAAGCTGCTGGGTTTCATACGCAAAATTTGTGGATCTAGCCTCGTACAAACCTACCAGGCCTCCTCCCATTTGGCGACCTTACCCCTTGTGCCGATTTTCCACTTTTAAGGTACCCATACAATTTTGAAATTGTTAGTCGAATGCAAGGCTCATCAGAGGAGCTCCACGTCCATCTATTCTGCCATTACTTATGTTTGTTCGCTCTACTCATTTATTTATTTGTTTATTCATAATCCCAATAGGCGCTATAGTTTGAAACACAACATTGTTATCGATCGAGAGGGGATCAGTCAGGATATCATAGCCTTTTTAATCAATTTCGATCTATCGCTGGCAATGGATTTATTCTGAATCTCAACAAACTTAATGTCGCATTCCATGATATCTACTTTTCCCCTTTTTTGCACATTTCTGCACTCCAATCAATCACTCTTATGATTCAACGATAAACACACATGCATGGCGCGTCTCCAAGTACAGCCGGCATTGCTCCATTTTCGCCACTCGTATAGAAACTACGTCTAAGTACCTATCTGAATTCTTATCCTCTCCTAATTGTCTATCGTTTTGGGAGCCGGGTAATCGTGCCTGGGTAATCATTATCGATTGCAACTTAAGCTATATTGATCGAACTTTCTAAAACGTATTAGTTTAAAGTCATTTTCAGTATGATTTTACTGCTCCTGTTAATTTTTACCGCCAGCGGCGTGGCCATTACGCCGCTTCGCCACGAGGACCATGTCTTTCCCGCTGATGACATTATCGAATTACCGGTAGGAAGGTATGTTTTGATCGATATCGATTTTTTCGCTAATTCATTGACTTTTTGGAAATATGCCACCCTCAATCACATTTCTGTCTACAGTAGATTGTGGCAATCCACACACATGGAGGTTCAATTTATTCACTGACGTTTGATTTCAACGAAACTTATAAAAATTTTGTGCTGGAGTTTTTAAACCATTTTTAAACATGTTTTCTTGCTCGTTAATAATATGATTATAAAAAATGAATAAATAATACATATTATAGAAGTATTCATAGTTATTGATTAACTAGTAAGGTTTATTCAAGGTTTCCCGATCCTGACTGCGAGTACACTGTCTTCAGAGATGGACGATTTGGTCCGAAGGTCAATGGGTGAGTTCTATGCATCACGGACCCCTTTTAGAAACCAGTTTATTGATTTTTGAATGATGTTGATTTATTGATTTTCAAGCAAAATACGTGTTGGTGATGTGGTGTTTCATTCGTGGAAATGTAGCTATGGAGCTCATGACAGCAGTATGTACTGCTTGATGGTGAACAATTGTACGGTATCCAGTGAACGCGACTCATCTCAGAAGGTCGTTAGAGAGTTATCGATGTGCATGACTGGGACATGCTCCCAATTGTTGCAGGTGCCTATAATTGATTAGTTTTTGCCTGTTCTCTGTCTCCCAACGTCTTCCATCATGTCGAATACTCCATGTCCGAATTCTTCAACGCGATTACTTTTCAATGCATTTTCGCTTGACTGTCGATCAGGTAGGATGAGGTAAACGAACTTGTCACAAAATTGTCCTAGAGGGTGTGGTTTCACGCTCCGCCCCTTAAAGAACTTTGGATTAAATGGCTCAATTAAGGCTGTTGCCCGTGTTCTCGAATGTATACGCGTCAAATTGCTTCTGAAGTTGAACGGTGTTTGCCGACGACCTACTTGCCGTCCACTGGAGGAACTACGAGGTGCTAGCGCTCGCTATCGTCGACATCGTCCCACCCTCCGCTAACTTTCCCAACGAGGCGTAGCCCTTTGTGGGCGTGGGCGGAGTTTCTCACCCCTACAAACGGCTGCTACAGTAACTACGTAGTGATTATGTACAGTAATATGTTCTTTCCAAGTTCGTTACGGGTTCAATAAACATCATCCATAGGCGATTTATATTAATTTTGTACCTTTGTAATTTTATTAAATAATTAATGAAGACGCTAAGGTAACAGAACTGCGTTGAATCTGTACAGTAAAGTAATCTGTACAGTACTATCAATATTATTAATACAATACTAATATAATTAATACAAAAACAGAGATTACACACGTTTTACGAGTTTGGGGATTGAGGTATAACAGAGACCAGCATATTTTCACTAAACTACCAGTTTGATTGATGAGTTTCTGAACTCAACAGTACAAAATATTGATCAATATTGATTAAGCTGTAATCGATCGGGAGCGAGATTAGACTAGACTGAATGGAATATCTAGTTGCAGCACTACTTGTGAACGCTTTCTCGGCTTGACATCGATCAGATAAACGACTACGTATTATTATCCACTGAGACAACTCACAAATGGGGCGTGGCTTCGCGCTCAAGTACATACAAAAATAGGTTATCCTCCACTGACTGGCTGATTGGTTTCCTCCGTGCTGGATGAATTGTTGGCATTCTGAAAGGAGAAAAATAGGAAAACAGAAAAATAGAAAATATTAAATATCCATGTAGTTTTTAGAACCTTCGTAAGTCAATGAGGGCTTAAAATAACTTCAAACGCAGACCTTTTCAACAATTCTTTTCTTTATCGTGTCGCGAAGTTTCCTCAGCTTTTCGAGTTTTTCTACGAGCTGCTTCTCTTGCTCCTGGAAAAGATAATCTGTTTTTTGTTTTTATTTACAAATCAAGTTCACAACAATTTTTAAAGGTTATACGCACTGGATGGTGCTTTAGCTCGTATCACACCGTAACGTGGGCCAGTTCCAGCCTGGTTTATTGCTGGCCTTGCAATTATCTCTACTATTCAAAGACAATGAAGACGGTGGTTGGAGGGCGGAGCGGTTTTAATGGAGTTATTTGGCGTCATTGGTGGAAGAACGTTGACAAAATTGGGTTAAAACTATCCAGATCAAACGATAATTGATTACAGAAGAAGTTTATTTACGCAACAGTTGTGACGGTAAATAACTTAATTTTTCTCCTAAGTTTTCAAACGTTTCCGAAATTCCAGGGCGATCCATTTTTAACCTCTTCCGAAAATTCAATACCAATCCTCCCCTGTTGGATGAAAGTGACACTCCATTACCCTGGGTTAGAAGGTTCAATGCCGTTCCCACCACGCCTTCATCTAGGGTAATGTGACCACAATGTAAAAAAATAGCTACCAGACCAGTGCTATCAGACCAAAGAAACTGGTACGATAGATATTGATCTAAACTTGCTGTTTCGGTGTCAGCTGAACTCAGTGGCGGCCGAATCCGCATCAGGTTCAATATAAAATTAGTAAAACAAGGTTTCACAAATAAAAAGTGCCTACCAACAATTCCTCTTTTCGAAGCTGGAGCAAAGCACGGGGTTCCGTCTCGACTATTTCAGCAATACGGCGACCTTCTCGATCGTATCGTATCTGTATTTGAATAATATTAAAACAAGCGTAAATGAAACAAATGTTCACAAGCGACGCCTCTTGGAAAGAAACCCCTAAGATTTTTCGAAAACTCAAAAAAATAAGAGTTTCATCGTAAACCCCATAAAACCAAAGTTTAATTTGAAGTTAGCGATTATGATTATGGAGGGAGGGGCGGTGTGGTATCGATGACGTACCTGAACCTCACTGGTGTGAGGTTGGTAAAAGGCGATGCCAACCACACTCTCGCAGCACTAACGAGGGGTCTAGCCAACCAATGGCTAGACATGACGTCATCGAAACCGCGCCGCCCTTCAGTCATCGTGAGGTCACTGCCGTTCCATTTCACAACCTTTAAAAGCTAAAAACAACATACCTGTTTGATAAAGGGTTTAGGTAGCAACCGAACCTCCGATTTAGCGCTGTAATTGATAACGGTGTATCTAGTAGAGTACCGTTGCCGCGACGAACAAGCAGTCATGGGCCCACAATAGCAGAACTTGTCCGGGAGCCTGAAAAGGATTGGATAGTTTATAATTTCTCATGTGATCTATGAATTAGAGCAATGGATAGAAAACTTTCAAAGAAAAGATGATTGAAGGCGGTTAGTTAAGTTGGACAAAGGTATGTGAAAATTAAATTATTAAAGTGGAACAAATCAAAAAAATGATTGAATTTTGCCCGCTCTCAAAAAGAATATGATCAGGCAAGATAATTTCTTTTGTGTCTATTAGTAAAAAGGAAAGCAAAGAAAACTAGTAACCAAAAGAAAAAATAGAATAAAATAATACAACACATATGTAAAGAATTATTTTAATAATATACCGTTCCATCAAAGAAACTATTATAAAGAAGACGAAAAAAGATATGTGTAAAGAGATATGATATTATCCGATGAGCCCTAAAGGAAGAATCCTCTTATAGCAGGCTACCACTAATGCATGGCCAATACGTCTCCTATTTTCGTCAGGCCGCTAGAATTGCCGACCGGGGTGGTGCCTTACCTATTAACATCCGTGACAGTAATAGCGTCCGCCGCGGCCGGCCGCCGCAGCCAGCAATATCGCGGCGAATTTGCAAAGAGCTCAGCATTCAAACATTGGAGAATGTAAGATTAGATTAAGTTTCCAGTAATGAAACATGAAATAGGAACCACCTTACCCTTTAAAATGCAGTTTCGTTTTCGCTCGCCATTATTACATACTTATCATATCATGCTTATGTTAGAGCCTTCCTCGCCGCTACTCTGTGTCTTGATACGCAATATTCTTTCCGATTGAACCAGATTATCACTCTCTGATAGAAATTCAGGAAACTGATTAATAAAGAAGTCAAATTAAATCCAAAAGGACAACCTTTACACGGTACAAAGTTTGTACTGCGAGGCTTAAATCACTGCAGGGATCTTACAGTGACGCTTGCTGGCTTACTGATGTCCAGCACTCTGGTGTTATCAGTCACCTAGCCAACTTATGGGCATGGATGGATAAGAAAAGGTCCACACAGAAATCGCCGCAGCAACTGCCGCACGCGACGATTCTCGCCGCGTGAGCGGCGTGACCTCATTAGCCGACGATTGTATAGTCCGTCGCCCCCCACCGGATATGTCCCACCCTTTGAACTCACTCGTGAAGCTTTGTCAGGTCAGTTAAAATCGAGAATTGCGAAAGGAAATGCCTGAACCAAGCAAAGTGGATCGACTGCCAAATACCCACAACTAGGACATTTTCGGCGGAATCAATCTCCGAATTCATAACTTCATATCAACTAAGGCTTGGAGAAAAATGAATTTTGAGAGAAAAATCATATTCCAACGGTAAACACTCACACTTAAAAATGAAGACCTCGGTTTTCCAAAATGGATACCCGCTGCTTCGCCACCTTCCTCCCGATCGGACGAGCCATCATAATTTCTTCAACCACGAGGTTTCGGTGGAATAAGGTGGTCGGAAAAGTGAAGGGTTCGAATCGTGAACATTAGAAGAACAAGGCACATCAAACCTGGAAATCTGGAAAAATCACGACTCCTTTCACCCACTCAAATAGATTTCAAGACGATAATAAGCAGAACAATTCTGATGAAACATGAAATTCGCACTAAAGAAAGCTATCAATTCCTAAAGCGATTTGAAACCTAAATTTATTTATATTGCTACATTGGCTCTGGAATGCTAGCTCAAACGCTTTCTCCAAATCAAATAACTCGTTGGCTTCCATAAACGGTAGCACCCTCTGTGACGAAAAGTTCGCTAATGCGCTACGAGTAAAGTACTTCTTTGGTTTCGTTGCTAGTCTCATGACAAGCAAACTTGGACGAATAGCACGAGTCATGGTTAACTAGGCTAAGACATGTCCTTTCCACCCAACTTTTGGCATTAGTAATAACATTTGAAATCCCTAGGGCGGAAAGTGTGTAGTGGCAAGTGGCACGCTTACCACGCGAGCGGTCCGGGGATCAAATCCTGGGTCGTGAGTCGCCCGGGCCAACCAAGCCTTCCATCCCTCCGGGTCGGTTAATTGGTACCAGACTTGTCTGGGAGGATAAAAACACTGACTTGTACATCGGCTGGCCCCCGCAAGTCATTGTATAGGCCACATCGCATTCAAACGCCACTACGAATGTACAAATGGAAGTAGAATGCGTGCCGCATCCCAAAAGGGATTGATCAACGGCAAATGCTTTATCCTTTTTACATGCGGTAATCGTTTTGATCAAACAATTCTGCTTTCCGTGAATCAAACCTTCATTATATCCTTCTATTGTGTATAAAGCGCTAACTTTGTGTGTCGGTTTGTGTGTCTGTATGTGTGTGTATGTATGTATGTGTGTCCGTCCGCAAAATGAAGTGAGTGAGAAGGAAGCTCATGGGATAAACAAACCGCTAACAAATCGGGTAGCTTACAGGATTTGAGATATCAATGTTTTGTAGCAGGATAGTTGTGATAACACTCTTAGGGCTATATAAACACCTGCTTAGCACACTTCCGTTCATTCCACATGGTGCTGCAGTGGCAGCTGGAGGGCAGTGGAGAGAGGAAGGGAGGATGAGGAAGGGAAGCGAAAAATCTACCGTCATATCATGATTGTGTCCCTTCTACTGTATGAAACACCATTGTGTTGCATACGCGTCACTTCCAGGAGGTGTTGGTGTCACAGGAGGAAGGGACCATAGCGGAGGATAGAAAGCTTGCGCAGGAAAGGAAGGTCCCGGCGGTTGACGGGGGACTAATCTGGTAAATATAATAAAAAGAAATCACAATAACGTTTCCTTTGAAGTGAACGATTTTTTTGGATTCAAACTCCGCGTCTTTTCATGCTTTTTTTTCTTTTATGCCTTCGTTTTGTTTGCATAAGTTATTTGCGTACTCCCTCTCCAGCTGTTGTGCTCA